ACTGCAAGTATTCGTGCGCTACCAAAAGGCTCTGTCGATTCGCCTGAGCGTGTGGTGTAACTGGCCATGAGTTTGTGCAGGTTTACTCGGGCTGACTGACGGACATCAAGCATCAGCTGACGATATGACGTCACTGGTAATCAACTAAACTCCAGACGAATCATCTGAGTGGGTGACGTCGCTGGTCATGAGTTCATACGGATTCACTTGGGCCGCCCAAGGTCACAAAGCAACACCTCCCGTGAAGCATCACAGGATGATATGTCGTCACTGTTATTCGACTTAACATCAGGTCCAACATGCCACGTACTTTCTTTACCTTTTGTACTTGTTTATTAAAGGCACTGACGTGCTGAATGAAGGCTCCGTCGAATCTCCTGAGTGTGTGACGTCACTGGTCACGAGTTTTTTACGGGCTCCTTTGAACCCATTTTAGGTTATAATGCATCAGCTGATGACATGACGTTACTGGTGCTCGACTAAACATCAGGCGCAACAGGTCATGCTCCATATTTGCCTTTCGTACCTGGCTGCTGCAAATATTCGCGTGCTATATGAAGGCTCCGCCGAATCACCTGAGTATGTGACGTCACTGATCATCAGTTGGTAGGAGGTCACTTGGCCACCTACGGCTACGGAGTTCCGCAACAGAGGTGGGAGATGCACCATAGTTAAGCACACTAATTTTATTGTGCGCACCATTAAGTAACAACTTCAAACGCAACGGGCTGTTTCAACGACTAAAATTTTGAACCAACGTAAACACAAAACAGAGGTTTTCCCAGCCCACAAACCGACGTATATGCAAAGCTATTCCGCCCGACATCACAGGATGCGCCCCTGAGCAGCTACGGTCCGGAATGCCCTGATGGCTAAATAATAATCAAGGGCGCCGCCTAGCGGCCATAAGTCTGGGCCACAGCCCGAATATCAGTGACGTCATATGGTCAGGTGATGCTTGATGTCCTTCAGTCATCCCGAGTAAGCCCGCGTAAACTCATGACCAGTTACACCACATGCTCAGGTGATTCGGCAGAGCCTTTATGTAGCGCGCGAATACTTGCAGTATAGAGGTGCGAAAGGCAAAGATGGAACATGGCCTGTTGCGCCTGAGATTAAGTCAAATACCAGTGATGTCATATCGTCAACTGATGTCTTGTACCCTATAGGTACAAAGAAGCAGCCCGTAAAGAACTCATGACCAGTGACATTACACACTCAGGAGATTTCACAGAGCTTTCCTTAAGCATGTCAATGCTTACAATAGATAGGTACGAAAGGTAAAGACGAACATGGCCTGTCGCGCCTGGTGTTAAGTTGAATACCAGTGACGTCACATCGCCAGATGATGCTTGATGTCCTTCAGTCAGCCCGAGTAAACCCGCGTAAACTCATAACCAGTCACACCACACGCTCAGGTGATTGGGCAGAGCCTTTATGTGGCGCGCGAATACTTGCAGTAGATAGGTGCGGAAGGTAAAGATGAAACATGACATATTGTATCTGATGCTTAATTGAATACCAGTGACGTCATATCGTTACCTGATGCCTAATGGCCTTAAGTCGGCCCAAAAAGGCGCGGGAAAACTCATGACCAATGGCGTCACACACTTAGTGGATTACCAGTGACGACATATCGTTAGATGATGCCTAATGGCTTTCACTCGGCCAACAATAGCCTGTAAAAACTCATGATGACGCACTCAGGTGATTCGGCAGAGCCATCATTAGGCTCGCCACTACTTTAACAGGTGCGAAAGGCAAAGATGGAACATGACATGTTGTGCCTGATGTTAAGTCGAACACCAGTGACATCATATCGTCAACTGAAGCATTATACCATATAGGGGGTTGAAAAGAGCCCGTAAGAACTCTTAACCAATGACGTGATGTAACACGCGAATGCTTGCAGTAGACAGGTACGAAAGGTAAAGATGGAACATGGCCTGTTGCGCCTGATGTTGAGTCGAATACCAGTGACGTCATATCATCCCGCGATGCTTTACAGGATATGATGCTTTGTTGCATTGGGCTGCCCAAGCGAACCTGTATAAACTCATGACCAGTGACGTCACGCACTCAGATGGTTCAGCATCACCTTGATATAACACGCGAATGCTTGCAGTAAACAGGTACGAAAGGCAAAGATAGAGCATGGCCTGTTGCGCATGACACCTAGACGAAAACCGGTGACGTCATATGGTCAGCTGATGTGGTATGGCTTACAGTGGGTTCAAAACAGTCTATACAAATTAATGGTTAGTGACGTTACACATTCAGGTAATTCGGCAGACCCTTCCTTCAGCATTCAAATACTTGCAATGGACAGGTACCAAAGGTAAAGATGGAGCATGGCCATTGCCGCCTGAATTGTATTCGGATACCAGTGACGGCACATCTTCAGTTAATGTCGTATGACCTTTCGTCGGCCCAAAAGAGGCCGTAAAATTTGATCACAAGTGACATCACACACAGTTGAATGCCAGTGACGTCACATCATTAGGTTATGCTTTACGGCCCTCAGTTGGCCCCCAAAGATCCATAAAAATGCATGACCAGTGACGTCACACACTCACGTGATTTGGTAGCTTTTATTCATCACGCCAATGCTTGCAGTAGACAGGTACGAAGCTAAAAATGGACCTTGACGTGTTGCGACCAATATTTAGTCGAATATCACTGACGTCACGATACCCAGTGATATTTCACGGAACATGATACACCGCGGCCGTGGGGCCTAAGTGCACTCGTATCAAGTGATGATTGGTGACGTCACACATTCAGGTGATTCGGTCAAGCTTTTATTCGGCACGCAAATGCTTGCAGCAGACAGGTACGAAAGGTAAAGATGGAATAAGGCCCGTTGCGCCTGATGTTTCATTGAATACCAGCGACGACATATCGTCAGGTGATGCTTTACGGCATTCATTGCAACCAAAAGAGCCCTAAAGCCTCACAACAAGTGACGTCACATATCCAGTCGAATACCAGTGACATCATATCGCTAGCAAATGCCTTGTAGCCTTCAGTCGGCCCAAAAGAATCCCGATCGATGCAAACCCATTTTCAGTGACGTCACTACGTCGGCTGATACCTAACAGCATTTCTCCATCATGGCAGTACAGGAACCCTGCAGCCAGCGTAGCTCTCTCCCCACCGTCGGCAATACAGGTACCCAAGTAAAAAAAAGCCAACAAATCAAAGTATTGCATACATTTTTATGCCTCATTGCAAATGGTTTGTGGTAAATTGTCAGTTGGTAAAATGTCATGTCATGTATGAATTCAGGTCTAATACTTTAGTAGTAAATGGTCCATGGCACCTTTTCTAAAACCAGTTTTGAGTACAGACTGGCTTGAATCTTGAAATAATCAACCATTAAAGCAATGCTGGTGTAAGGTCTTGTAAGTTGTTAAGTTCCTTTGTGATGGGTATTGTTCATATAGGTTAGACACTAATATATTTTTTCCTCACAGAAAACTGGGAGAATGGAGATAGATGTTCCTTTTTAGCTGATACTGGTGTTTTGTATTGATGGGTAGATGGCTGGGATTAAATGGCATAGAATAGGTATGCCATGCATATGTGCCTGCATCTAAATTTTGTCTTAACCTGTTAGTGCTGAATAAGTTGCATCACATGCTGTGCTTGTGACTGATTACTCTTAGACATTTGTTCTGCTGAATGGCTTTAAACATGTGACCAACATAAAAATCATTCCTAAAAGCAGCCTTCTAGCCCCATTGACTCAACAGCAAGAATGCACAACAATAGGTATGCCCTTATAAGGCAGCTCCACTAAGCAAGCTGTAGTAAGAAAGTGGTGTTACAAAGGCTGGTGGAAACTTACAGGATTAAGGCTATCACTGTTCTATTTAGACAGTGTTAAGTCTTGTTTATTGTGAACCATATGAAACCAAAGTTTATTTTGCCATTCTTGGGTCACAATTTAAAGAATTAAGTGTTTGTGAATCCTGCAGTGTTTTCCCCCTCAAATTGCAGCATTTTGCCAGACTCATAGCCTGCCATTGCTAAGTCAATGTTTATATATAGGCATGTGTGCAAATGACATGTCAGAGGACCCCTGCCTCCTGCATTACCATGAAAGTTAGGGTTTCCAATGCATTAATGAATACTGTTGGTTTAGCTTTCACATAAAGCTATGAGTCATGGCTCCTTTGTCTAGCTGCTACTCATATTAGTTTATGACATGGATGGGGTGCATAAGCACTGAATGTTTTGTGTATTATGCTGTTTTGTGGAAGGAAAGCCAAATTCAACCTGTGTGGTGCAGGCATTAGCCAAATGTGTTGGAAGTTTCCAGTAAGCTACATGTATTTTAGAATATAGCTAGTACTATGTGTGGCTGATACTGTGTTGGTCCTGCCTTGTGCACTAGAAGCATGCATTTTGTTATGAGCGGATCAGCTGATGCTGATGCTGATGAGCAACTGCAGATCAACTTAAGAGGTGCAGCTGAGCCTGTCCTGACCATGACCCTGTCTAGATGTCAATATCTTTGTATTGTCCAGTCACTGGTTAGTGTAGCCTTCCATGACAGTAAATGTAATTCTTTAAAAGTGGCTTTGTGTGCATTTTTATGCATCTGCATACCTACTGAAGGCACTGATTTTCATGATTGGGTGGAATTATGTCATAGACTGATCAGTATGGCTTTTGACATAATCTTTATGATGGAAAGTGACACTCTGTGTGTTTACTTGTCTTATCTCATGATGCATGGCATGGTGTACTGGTGTTTAGGAGCAATGACATTAAAGGGAGTGTCTGACATTTGTATGGGGTTTTGAACTGAAATAGCCATCTTGAAAATCATTTAGTGCAATTCACAGTCCTGCCCCTATTAAACCCTGAAAGCCCTCTAGTTTCTGAGCTTCAGGCCTGCAAAAGTTTGTAGACTATTTCAAGGCCACCCTGGCATTCATGGTGCCATGATGTCATCATTTGAATGCTGCTGTTCCACTCGTCATGCGGTGATCATGGCCAAGACAAATATAATTGTTCAGTTGTTCATATTTAGCATTTGTGGGCGTGATATCCAGATAAAACGGCCGTCACTTGGGTCTCAATCATTGCTGTGCGAAATGCGATGACGTAATTAATTAATGACGTGTTGAGAAACATGTTTACTAGGCAGAGAAATTGTCATTCCCTGAGCAGTCTTTTCCAATAAGAAGCATACAAATAGTGATAAGTAAGCCTATTTCATCGCATTTGATGCTTGCCTTATAATCTTTAAATGTGGAATATTCCCTTTAAGAAATGCAAAATCTGCTGGAGATAGGTACAGATGACTGTAAGCCTTAAATAAACATTGCTACATGAGTTCAAAGTATATGGGTTCTATGCCAGCTAGGTGTCTTTGAAATGAACCCCCAAGATCATTATATAGTATGGCAGATGCACACAAACTGGAATGCATCTATGTTAAGCACCACTAATGCTTCCAGTAGCAACAACGGATAACTAATTTGGCAACGGTTTTTGCTTTCTTTCTTGTGTCTTGTTGCCTGTTTTTTCAGTAAGGCTGCACTACTTAAGGACGTCAGCGTGTCTTGTATGCTTTTCCTCCAAAGCTTGAGCTTTTCTGATGGGCTTCCGAAGCGTGATGCAAGTTTGATTTGATCTTCTGTCCAGATGTTCCCAGACTCATTAAATGACTCCGTATGAACTCGTTATCGAGCACACACCCTCACAATTCCAGGCGGACTCTGCATGTCTGGATGACAGAGCAGCACAAGGCGGCTAACCTGCCCACCGCAAGTGCCTGCCATGGTGAAGAAATACTTCTGTGACTACTGCGGCACGCGCTTCGCCTATTCCCCGGAGGCGTGGCGGCGCCACGTGCGCGGCGTCGCGCACGTGCGGGCGCGCGCCGAGCACTACCGCCAGCTGTCCTCGCCGCGTGAGCTGCTGCGGTCGGAGCAGGCGCGCCGGCCCTGTCGACGCCGCAGCGAGCCCGGCGGCTGTCTGTTCGGCGACAGCTGCGTCTTCTCGCACCTCTCGCAGGAGGAGCTGGCGCGACTGCGGGCGGCGGCGCGCGCTGAGGAGGCGGCGCAGGCGCGGCCCGCGCCGCCGCCGACGCTGGAGAGCTGGCTGGCGACGCGGCCGCACCTGGCCCGGCCCGAGGGTGGCGTCACCTACCGCTGGCAGCCGCCGCCGGGCGTGCGCCAGGTGGCGGAGGTGGCGCCCTCCCTGCGCCCGGTGGAGGTCACGCTGAGCCCCGGCCAGGTGGCGGAGTGGGGCTGAGCCCGAGGTCGGCGGGAGGCCTTCAACTGTCTTCAGCATCCTGCGTGGCATGGCTGGAGTTGTGATCTTTGTCTGGGGCATTATTGTGTGTTCTATTGATTCTATCAGAAAGTGCCAGTTTATGATAAATATAGGTGTGTGCGGAGCATGGTGTATTTATTTATTGATATAGTGCATAATAAATGTGTGCTTTACACTGTTTTCGTACCTTTGTGCGAGGCAAAGGGAGAAAAAGAGTCATAGAAAGAAATGAGGCTGTTTGTAGATTCCCATCCGCCCAAAGTCTTACCCGTTATCTCCTGGTACCGCGCTCTCTCCATTGATATAATCTGCTTCGCTATTTTGTGTCCGGCTCAAATTATTAAGTTTGTTCTGAAACTGACAACACAACTGAAGGGCTTTCTCCGTTGCACAACGTGGTCGTACCTTGTAATGAGGACGCTGACGGGAAGTGCGATTGGGGTACCGAGATCCATTTTGTGTGACTGATTTGTTTTAACATTTAGCCGGCATCGTTCGATTGGATGGATTTCCGGCATCGAAACCCATGCTAGTCAGCACTTGTAGTATGAACTTAGATGCCGCCACTCGATGGTGAAATTCTGGATCCACGGTAAGATTTCACGGCGACGTTTTGACGCACCGCACAGCTCGGCATGGTCTGTCCTGTGCTCTGACGTCACTTGACCGTTAGCGCGGCTGCTGCCACCGACCGCGGGCCATCCAAGTCAGGTGCAAATAACGAGCGGTTAAAGCCGCTCGAGCCCATCTCGCCTCGAGTGGGGGGATCTGAAGACAGGCTGTAACAAACGGCGCCATAGGAACGGACAGTTTATGCGCGCAAAGCGAACGGATCAAAACGTCACGAACCCCACAAGTCCTGAACAATCTCCGGTGCTCCTCATTTTGTCCATTTCGGACGCGGCACAGCCTTAACATCTCTTACAAATGTAGTACGAAATGTGGTACCAGAAGTGCAGGGATGAAGCTACGCGTCTGGGGAAATCAGAGGAACGGGGTCAGGGGGAGGGATAGTTTCCTATTCAGTCGAGAGACTTCAGCCCTTCCAACTCAGAGAAGAAAGCGGGCCAGGTCCGGGGCGAAAACCGTTCGCTGACCAATTTTAGAGTAAGTTTAAGCCATTTTCACTGCACTGTTCATACCAACTCATTCTGCGGAACTGCAGCCGTGCAGGGGGTTTCGTTTCCCGCGATGCTCGCCTTCCTGCCAGATGGAAAGGCAGGCGGTGCCATGCAGGCCGCAGAGGATTCTACGTGAAGGCAAATGCCGTTCAACCGGCATATGGTAACACAGTGACGCTAGTTCGCCGCGGATGCGCGTGTTTTGTATTTTTGTGCCTATTGAGCACGGAGCAGACAGTTGTGTAGCAGACTGCCCGGCTTCTCTCACGTTGCCCGGTGGGGTTGCGCCAGTAGCAGGTGTCGGCCTCTACGCTGAAAAGGTATGAAACGTGGGCATTTGGGAAAGTGCCTCGGGGAGCGCGGTGAATGCGGCTAGAAAAATGGCCCTGTATCTGTGCCCAACTCGTGCGTTATAGCTCTTGTCTGGTGTTCGGCGTTGCCGCGCGCCACGTGGGCGGTTCTACTTCACTTAAGTCCAAGCTCAACTTATCCTGATGCTAGATCTGAGTAAGATGTGTGGTTCAGACTATTATTCACTCTTTATTCACTTATATTATTTACTCCTCTGAATGTTTACCTTTTGTTCATCTGTTAGACTGAGAACATGTGCATGACATACATGGGACTGGCCAAATTAGATGCATTTTTTGTGTTGCATTAATTGTTTTAAGCATTTTTGGTTAACATTACATTTAAGACATAATTTTCCTCCAAACACTTCCTATATGCATTGGGTTTTCAGCAACTGAGTGTCAAACCTGACGCTTTTATATTTACGTGGTGGATGTGCTGGCCATACATGGTTAGTAAAACAGTAACACATGTTTTTCAGTGTTGCTGATGGGTAGCTATTTCCCAGTGGTCAGTTGATCTATGCCTTTGGCAAACTTGTAGCATGAATTAGGTAGCAAATACTAAACAAGCTCAGCAATTTAGAAAATGGTAGCATATACAAATAGCTTTTATGTGAGGCACCATCTTATCCACCTTGGCAAAGCTTTTGTTCAGTGATATGACTGCATTGGCATGGCATAACATGGCAACTTCACTTTCAGCAAATAAAATAAACTGTTGGCTACAGATGGTGCAGAAACCTTACTACTACCTATGATGGGTTTGTTATACTGCTTAAAGTGGTTGACTGGGCTCAGGGTGGTAACATATGGTATTTATAGAGTAGGCAATTTTGTTGCCCTTGCCTGCTTTTTACACTTCCAAGTCTAGTCAACATGAATTGCTTATTGCATGCCTTGGGTGAACTTGCTGCACTTCTCAATGTCATGTTGCCTAGTCCCATGCATCATTGTTTGATTTTTTATGGTGACCATTGAAGGTGGAACTCCCTTTCTCTAGTGACCTGCCATTTGCTCTTTTCATCCTGCACATTAGCCTTGGACCTAGAAATATAATGTATTTGTGCACCATCACATGGAATATTGCTTGGCATTAAGCTATTGCCCTGGCATTAGTCCATAGAGTGATTTGGGCTGTGTGAAAAAGAATGTGTCTTGTTTCCCCTTGACTTGCCCATGATATTATGTGAATGGATGACTATGCAGGAAGTAATTCAAGTCCATGGGCCACTGAAAGCTACCATATCACCTCCTAAAATGTCTACTTGCATTTGAAATAAGTCATGATAAACCTTTCATCACTTAAGGTTGACTTTTGCTAAACCTAAACCTTTTCATTCCCCTTTTCTTAAACCTTTCCCCACTCAGCCTGCAGCTTTGCTCACAAGCACCCTGTGTTCTTTTATGCTCCACAGCAAACAAACTAACATATATGTGTAGTGTGAAATTGCACTGAATTGCTCAGTATATGCTGTGAAGTGAGTGGACATAACTTCTACACCTTTAAGCACAGGATGGACCAAGGCAACTCATCTGAGAACATAGCTGATGCACCAACAGAGGTACCTGCCAGAGGTCCCGGGGAGGCTGGCATTAAAGCTGAGTAAGTATGAAGGCATTGCACACTTACAGGATTCATTTGGGTATGCACCCATCAATTAATAACTGGATGCTGTCCAACAGGCAAGTATGTCAGGGCTAAGGTCATATTTATTGAAAGCTTTATTTGCCATGAAGCTCCCATGAAGTCTGCAGATTATTTTACCAGAAAGACACTCTTAGTTAGCATGTCTTTCCTCCTGCATATTTGTATCAGATCATTATTGTCAGTTTCAACATGAGAAATATTGTTTACTAATTACATCATTTCTCTTGATATTGGCTGATTCCCAGTATGATACATTAACACACAACCTGTTGGATGGTTGAATACCATTCATCTGAGTGGGGTCAACCTGCAGGTTTAATAATATAAAAAAACGTCAATCTCCAGATTGGTATCCAAAGTGCCTCCAGAACCTAGATACCTGTTTTAAGCATAAGTTCACTGGTGCCATTTAAGGTCAGTAACCTTGTTTGGCCCTTTGCAGGTCATGATGTGTAAACTCATAGGACTGTTTGGGTTTTGCAGCTGATTTAGCATCAAATATTTTGCTAGGTGGTATACTCCTCAAAACAAAATGTTAACCTGGGTCATTTTAGATCAGTGACCTATTGTGATGTTAAGGAAGTCCATGGAAGATGTATAATGCAGCTCATATGTCAATAAATCCGAAATGAACATCAGTTACTACCCCATATATCTACCTCTAGAATAGGGAAACAAGATGGTTTTGACCTTGGTGTGACCATTATACCTGATCTAGGTCAATACAATTTATACATTTGATTGTTTTGTTGCCTAACTGTTGCCCATCATAGAGATGTATGACTTTGTCTAATGCTCTGTTCTTACATTAGATTGAACAACTCCCTTAAGCTGTCCTTGCTGAACCCATCGCCCGAATTTGACCTGCCTTAGGTCAGCGACCTTACTAGATACATCCAAATTTTTGGTACTAAATGATTCGCTATTCAATTCGGAAACCATTCGGGATAAACCTTTGGGGGTGGGTCAAGTTGACCCCCCACCAGAGTGCATGTTAGTACTTTTGGTAAGATCTTGATGTGGGTCAGTTTGGCTAGATTTTAAATGCATTGTTGTGCCCAGACATGTGTGTGTAATCACAAGGACTGTGACAGTAAATCAGACGGAGATCCGCCGATCACTGATTATGTGGGCATTCAAGCGCACGTCTACTGGATCTCAGGTATCTCATTTACAAGAAGCAGCAGCATCCGGAAACAGAAGACGCTAAGGAGCCTGTCGATGCAGTCGCCAAGAGGATGAAGCTGTCGGAGGAGTCACCGTCCGACGATGGTGCAGCACCAGCGGAGGCCGAGGCGGCTCCATCCGAACCGGGTGGTGACTCAAAGAACAGGCACAAGAAGGAGAAGCAGCGTGGTTAGTGGTTAGAACTACTTAATGCTTTTTGTGTCAGGTGGCTATGCATGACTACTGATGTGCGCTGATCCCCTAATATTGAGAAAATCACTATCGTGATAGGCGGTCATTGATTTTTTATATACTTCCTATTGTGCTGAAATTATTTAGACTGTCACCATCATGACCTGTTCAACATACAGTTTCCTCCTGTATTGTTCAGCAGAATCATCATTATATCACCATTTTTATAGCCATTTTTCATATTTGCCGTCAGATTGAATTGTATTATCATCTTGCAATCATCAGTATTGTACGCGGCCGCTTGTCACCAGGCATACCGGCCGGCTGCTGCACGCTCGCGACCGTGCACAGCTCCCTCCACTGCGGTGGCACCCTGTGCCCGTAGGCCGCAACAAGCACCGGCCAGGGATGGCGCGCCAGGCGCCGGCCGAGAAGCTCTGTCCCGTGCTGAAGGACGTGCTGGACTCGGAGCCGGAGCGGCAGTGCCAGTTCAAGGGCCGCTGCCACTTCCTGCACGACCGCGCCGCCTACGCCGCCGCCAAGCCGGCCGACCTGGGCGCCGAGTGCTACATGTTCAGCACGCACGGCCGCTGCCCCTGCGGACTCACGTGCAGGTCAGTGGGTCCTCGGCGCCGGCGTGTCGGCGCCGTCGGGGCGCGGGGCGCGCTTGCCGCAGCGGGCGAGTGGTGGCGGAAGCGAAGGTGGTGCACTGACGTATTTATAGCAGCAATTGGAGGCCTTCAGAGAGGTTCGCTCGCTTCGTTGTAGTTTTGAGGTACCATTGCCATGCGTGGGAGTTGTTTGAAGCCGTGGATCTGCTCATTTCTGTGTGCCCAGGCCGTATTAGATAAAGTCGGTGGTGCACGATGTTTTGGAACCGCACGACGACATCTCAGCCAATATTTTGGATAGATGAAGCAATTTAACAATTTTAACAGTTCCTTTGTCTTGTTTTTGTTGTTGTTGCGGTGGCCCTCTTAAAGCAAGTTTCGACCATGTCATGCCAATAATGAAAGTGACAAATGCATATGTTGGTGAGTGTGTGAGTTAAAGAAATCAAATTTACTAACGCCAGTTATGGTAATTAAGATGAGCACATCACATTCCATCGGAACCACTTGAGTGCTCGTCGTTAGGTTGAAATCATGCGTCGTTTGACGGATTTCACTCCGTTAACATATCAGGAACTGGATTTGTTCGATGTATAGCGAACTACTTAGATGAAGCTAGATACGGTTGTATCTGACTTCTTTTCCGCTGTGCGTATATGTGATACTCTAATTTCAGTGGGCGACCGTCTAGTTCGTAGGTACAGCACGGTGCGTACTGATGATTGATACCATGAGGTAATGGTCAAAGGTGTAACATAATCTCAGTCTCTGTGCTGCGATGGAATGTCCGAGCAAACGCTGAAAGACAGAAGGACTGAGGTATGCCAATTACCATTCCATATCTGTCATTTGCCAGCACATCCTCAGAAGCTCATCACTTAGACTTGCTTTCGCGCTCACCCCGCCCACGCTCCGCACTAGCGCATACCTCGCCCTGCTCCACGTCAGCAGCGGCGGCGGGAGCAGCCGGAGTGCTGTCCCCTGTACCGCACCGTCAGCCCCCCCCCCCCCCACCGACCGGTATCGGTGTGCCTGCCGGCAGGTTCGGCGCCGGCCACACCACCGCCAGTCACCGGAGCGTCGACGGCGACCCGGAACGCTGGAGGCGCTACCAGGCGCTGCGGCCCACGCGCAACGTGCTGCAGAAGGACGTGCAGCAGCGGCTGTGGAAGCGCAAGTACGATTTCTCGGCGGCGATGGCCGCCGTGCAGCGGTTCGATCGGCGGCCGGCGCCGGCCGGCGGGTCTCACCGGCCAGCGCGCCGGCCGGCGGAGAACGGCCACGGCCCCGAGCAAGGCGGGACCGCTGACGTCCCGGCCCCGGTCGCCGGGGCCCCGGGCCCTGAGGCCCCGGTCGCCGGGGCCCCGGGCCCTGAGGCCCCGGCCGCCGAGGCCCCGGGCCCCGAGACCGCGATGGATGCTGAGGCGGCCCCAGCCGCCGCTCCTGAGGCGACCGTGGCTCCTGAGACGGCTCCAGCCCCTGAAGCGACTCCAGCTGACATTCCTAGGGCGTCGCCGGCCGGGGCCCCGGTCTGCACGGAGGCCGGCGACCGCCCGCCGCCGGCCGGCGCCGCTGTCAAGCTGCTCGGACCTCACTCAGACGCCGATCTCGTCCGGCTGCGGTCAACCGAGAAAAAGAAGGTATGGGTGCGGGGGAGGGGGGGGGGGGGGCGGGCACTCGCTCTGGGTTCGTTGTGAACTTTGTGGACGAATGGAGGGGGGGGGGGGGTATTGGTTGAGTTTATGCATGCTCTGTTTGCCACGTTATATCCGACATCTCAGTGTAACACCATGTGAGGCAATCGTGTGGCTATCGAGGTGTGTTGTATTTTTTATGCATGTGTTGTGTTCCTTTCTTGTATATCAGTTTGTAAAGATATGGAAAGGAATGTCCACTGTGCTCTATGTGAAAGGATCCAGAATCGTGTTACGATGTAGGCTGTCCACGGTTTGAAGCTCGATCAGTGTTTTTCATTTCCGGGAAGCCGGGCGCCATCTGCCCGCAGTTACTGCCACCTGGTGGCCAAAGGCGGTATTGTGTTGCGATATCCGCGTGATGGTCGCAGCCCGTTATGCGATATTTTTGTTTTTGCTTGCATTCAGGAAGTAATACCTTGAAGAACGGTTGTGTTAAATTTTCACGCCTTTGTCATGGATTCTGAACAGCAATTTTGCGTACGCAACGCGATCGATTTTGCCAATGCCAAGCTAACCCGACTCAATTCACCGAACAAACCGAACTCAACTCAATCATAAGCGGAGTCAACTGAACGAAAGTCGACTCAGTTGGCGCAAAATTGCCTTTTCTGTCTGCGCGCCCAAAAGCTCTGATATCATCAACCCTTTTCACCCAACCGATCTCAGCTTGATGGGCCCACTGTAAATGAAAACTCAACCCAGTGAAACCTGGTCCAGCCCAGCCCAACCTGGCCCGGCCATGGCTCCGGCTCCGGCTCCGGCTCCGGCTACGGCTCCGGCTTCGGCTTCGGCTCCGGCTCCGGCTCCGGCTCCGGCTCCGGCCCCGGCTCCGGCCCCAGGCCCGGCCCCGGCCCCGGCCCTGGCCCTGGCCCTGGCCCTGGCCCTGGCCCTGGCCCTGGCTATGGCCTCGACCCCAGCCCTCCATCCCACCCAGCCACGCTCAATTGAACGTTGTGTAGGCATATCGAACAACCCGTATTGTGTGCCGACTACTTAGCCCACTCCTGTTTTACTCTTTGTTTTACTCCTGGGGCTCCACTCCTGTTTTACCTTGCTCTGCCAACGATGTGCCCCTCCACGACCTTGCTCGACCCCCCCGCACGTCAGCCTGCCTTACCAGCCCGCCGTACTGTTCTACGCCGCCTGGTCCAGCCAACCATGTCAACCGAACAGATGGCATCCGATGGCATCCCGACCTGGCAGGCTTAGCCACACATCGTTCCGCACGATCCCACCGATTCTGCTCTGTCCTGCCTCACTTCCCCGGACCATGCCCTGGCACGGTCATAAATCAGTCTGCCCATCTCACCATGCCGTTTGAAGGCACGGTCGGCTATCGCGAGTGGCCGGTCGGTGACCGCGGCCCGCGACCGACCCAGGACCTGCTGCTTTGTGACGGTCCGGACGTCTCTGCGGGCAGCGGCGCAGCCGACCCTTCGGACGGCCCGTGGTCGGGGTGGGCGCAAAATAACCATTGAAGTCGACGCGCCCGAAAACACCAATGAACAACAAGAGCAAAGGCCGGTGATGGGGTTACGCGCCCCCTGAAGGGTGGGGGGGAGGGGAGAACGGCCCTCGCCGCTCCTGTGGCGGGCGACTGGACCGTGCTGTAACTGATGGGTGTGGCCAAGTCCCCGAGGTTGCAAGTTGGCAAACGGGGATTGGAGAGAGGACAGCTCGGAAATGCTATCTCGCGTAGCGGGCCCTAAAATATCCAGCAGTCATAATCATACAAGGACACCGCCAAATTCGGACGAAACTGGGCGACAAGCGCTCTCCTCTCGCGGTGACGACGACGACTACCCTGCACCCACGCTGTGACGTCTGCCGCGGCCCCGGCCCTCGTCCGGGTCGCTTGTGACGCCCGCGGCCCCCGACCCGGCCGGTCAGCGGCGGCGGCGACGGGCGGCCCAGCTGGATCCGTCGGCGGGCCGTTAAAATCCGCTGGAGTGCGGCCAGTTGTCGTCGATCGGAGCGGTCGCCGGCTGCCGCGGTCAGCCGCGCACGGGACGCGCCTGCCAAATGATAATCCGACTATCGACTGCCCGGCCGCCGAGTCGCCGCTCCGCGCCGCGCGCGCCGCGGCCCCGGCGGCGGCGGCGACGCGCTGTTTTTGTCGTCGGGCGGCAGATTAGCCGCAAATGGGCCAGCTGATGCCGCGCGCTTGCGAGTGGACGCCGGGATTAACCGGGCGGATTGCCGGGCCGCCGGCGACATCACACTGGACGCCGACCGGCCGCGCTGTGCCTGGGAGCCCCCCCCCCCCCCCTCCCGCCCCGGGAGGTGGCTTTGACTGGTGTGTGACCGTCAGGTTGTTCTGTTCCGGCTACAAGTAACATTGGTCCCTGGCAGGTGGCGCGAGGGTGCGTTCCATGTGAGCGGGACGTGGCAGCGTCATGAGACACGTTCCGAGGCAGATGGCCCCAGGGACGAGCCGTGTGGCGCGTGATCCGTCTGTACCGTAGCGTGCCGGCCAGGCCGGGCCGTACCCGCGCAAAGGGTGCTGGGCGCCGTACTCGTGACGGGTGACGACCGGCTACCACGCCCGCCCGGCCCAGGTGACGTGGATGGCCAGCTGCACGTGTGGCGGACGACGGCCACGCCCGATTCGGTCCGGAAGGGACACCGTCGCCTGTGACGGGGTGGTGGCCTTGCCGCAGGCGCCGGGGGTGGTGCGGCAGGACCGGCCACTGCCGTGACGCGCGGTGACCCCTCCTCCCCGCGCCAGGTGGTGTGGGAGGACCAGCTGTACCTGGCGCCGCTGACCACGGTCGGCAACCTGCCGTTCCGCCGGCTGTGCCGCCGCCTCGGGGCCGACATCACCTGCGGCGAGATGGCCATGGCGGCGAACCTGCTGCAGGGCTCGCAGGCCGAGTGGGCGCTGGTGCGCCGACACCACTCCGAGACGGTGTTCGGAGCGCAGGTGAGGGGCGAGGCCGCGGCGCACCGCCGCCGGCCGGCCGCCGCGCTCGCCGCCGTCACCGGCGGCGATGGCGCGGCGATGCTGCTGACGTGGTGCTTCCGCTCGAGCTGTTACGTCACCGCTGATGGCGTCTCGCTGCCGTTGTCGATCGTGTCGCTGCCGTATGTCCTGTCACGGCGGGCGCTTGTCACGCGCGGTCGCGTCGTGTCGTTACGTCGCGTCGTGTCGCGCTGGGTTACGTCGCGGGGCGCGGCAGCCGCTGATGCGCCCGGCACCGCCGGTGACGTGGACGCGCCGCCGGCGGTGCCGCGACTCTGCCGGCGCTCCGTTGGCCACTGACAGCCGGTGTCGCCGGCAGATCTGTGGCAACAACCCGGGCCTGCTGACGCGCTGCTCCCAGCTGCTGAACGAGACCTGCGAGCTCGACTTCATCGACATCAACCTCGGCTGTCCCATTGAGATGGTCTACGCCCAGGTTAGCGGTGCAGGCCTCGTCCTGTTGAGGTAGAGGGGGCGGGGGGGGGGGGGGGAGGTGTCGAAGACAGGCGTGGGCGGTGTTATTATGAGGGAAGAGGGAGAGGAAAACAAGCGGTCTTGGATTGTGCGATAGGAGGCATCCATTTATCCCGTGTCCAACAAAAGCACAAAAGCAACAAAAGCTGGGCGCTGCGGCGCACGGGAAGATCGACACTGGAGCGTCGTTGGCCGGTGCGAGTCGTGCGTGGATCGCGCGGCGTTGGTATTCCGCGCAGAGATCGCGCGAACAACGACAGATGTCTCCAATCAGAGTCCCATCAATTCCAGCTGTCGGCGCAGCCCTATTGGGTAATCGCGCCGGACGGACGCGCCGTAATGCGGTTACTTGGACATGGAAATGTCCTTCCTCAGCGATGGTTCTGGCAAGACGTTGCGCGCTTTGTTTCGCACCGCCGGCTTCTCTGTCGTGTTGTCCCTCTGAACGGCCCGTTATCGCCGGCGTCGATGGCCCACGCTCCGTTCACGCCGCGCTCAACCCGAGTACATTCACACCGCGCATGCAAAGCCGGCTCATACGTTCGCGGCTGTCTCGTTGTGCCCGTCGCCGCTCCATTGGCGCGTCGCGGCGAGTTCCGATTCCGCGCCGCGTTGGCGCGCCGGCGGCGGCGGTCCGTCACCGCGCGGCGGCGGCCGCCGCGCCGGCGGCGACAGTTAACACGACACACAATGCCGGCCCGGCCGCCGGCGGCGGCGGCCGGCCACGCCGCATTGAAATGCGCCGGCCCGGAGCGGCCGTCGCCCGGCGAGCGACGCTCTTGGCAGCCGGTCAAACGAGGCCGGACCGCCGCTGGAAAACAGGACGGCCGCTGCTGCCGTGCGTGGGTAGGGCGGGGTGGCCCGGGGAGGGGCACGGCGGTGTCGCCGGGCGAGAGCGATGACGGGCCCGCTGACCGGCGGGCGGGGCAGGGGAGCTGGGGTCCGTCGGGTCCTCTGGCCGTTGTCTGGGATCGGCCTATTCTGCCGATGGGGGTGCGAGGTCCGACGGCCTCTGTGGCATCCAGTTGCCTATGTCGTGAGTAAAAGGAAATCACAGCGACCTGGCTCTGCTCGTGGCGACGGCCCTGGTCGGGGCATAAACCGTTTTGCTGCTGTCACGGCCTGATGTTCTTCCTACCGGGGCCCGCGGGGATTTTTGCAGTCGCTTCAGTGACATTGCGACCCGTGCGCACGTGCAGCCCTGCGACACGCGCCCTGCTTCGTGACAAGCAGCCAGCCCCGCGCTCGGTGGTCAGTCTACATCTACGGCGTCAACACGGCTGCCGATGCGGGCGCCGTCCGTGACGCGCCGGGGATGAGGCCCGCCGCCCGCCACCTGGCCGGCGGGGGCCATAAACATGTCAGCCACTTCCCAAATTGAGAGCAGAGATCAATGGTTGCAAACACGTCAATACTTGCCGCCTGGAGCTTGGCCAGCTGGCCGCCGGCAGGAGCAGAGATAGTGGCGGCGTAAGGCAGCCGTAAGGCAGCCGTTCCGCCATTCGACACCGCTCTCTGGGATGGCTCAGTGCCGTTTAGTGCCATTGCGTTGTTCTAGCTGCGCCTGACGACCCGCGCCCCCAATTGGGTTTTCTGCGGCGAGAAGCTCTGTTTCGCGTAATAGTCATCCCGTCGAGTGCGCTCGAATGGCGGGTATCTGGCTGCCATGGCGGTGGGTGGTGTGGGTTGGAAAAGCGCGGTCGGTGTCGATGCGGCGTGTAGAATGTTGCGCTTCTGTTCCCGCCGCCGTCGCCCGTTTCTTGTTGCTGTCAGTCGTCTCAGCTGGCTCTAATCATCGGAAAACGACGGCATTCTTAGTTTCTGTGTACTAGTTGGCGGCAAAATTCCAACGTAGCAAGCACTCAAGATTCTGAGAGATTCGCTAAACCACGTCCCCGGCTTCCAGGATGGTGCTACTTTGCCGCCGCTGAAATCGCCGACTGCTCATAAACCCGGTCGTGTGTTCGTAGCGCCACTTGAGTCCCTTTGTCCGCGTCCCTCCGTATCTGCGATCGCTCGTGTTGGCGATCCGTGACCGGCCCTGCCCGGCCTGTCGGCTCCAGCCGCCCTGCCGTTCACTCCGGCCACGGGAGCGTCCGCGCTCCCTCCCTGATGCGCCGTGAATCAGCGGCGGCTGGCGGCCGGAGGGCTGCGACCCACGACTGCGCGCCGCCTCAGAGCCGCGGCTACGGCGGCGTGAGTCAGACAGAAGTCTGCGAAGCTGCCGCGCACGGCCGGCGGGAGCGCCCGCCGGCCGGGCTCCGGCCGCCCGCGGCGCCGCCGGGCCGCACTGCTGTGTCAGCGACGACGGTGACGGACGGCGGCCCGGTCTGGGGGTCAGGCGCCGGCGGGGCACGCGACGGAGCGCTCCCCGTCGCAGGAGGCGCCCGCCGACGGGCTGCTGTCGCGCCGGGTCTGGAGTTGGACTGAGGGCAGCGTGTTCGCTGCCGGCATCGGCTGTGTGCGCGCTGCAGGAAACTCGTCCGGATCTGACTGATGGCCATGCGTGTCTTAGACATCAGGCTGGTCTTGTGCGGTTGTTTGATGTACGTAAAGCACCCTCGAAGGTACTTTGTCTCTTTACGTAGACGTTAGCAAAGTAGCATACGATGTTTTAACGGTCCGTAAAGCACCCTGGAAGATACTTTGTGTCCTTACGTAGACGTCAGCAAAGTTGCATTTGTCGCTATACCTATCTCGCTGTTCTTTCTGTTTATTTCCGCGCCTTATAAATCGCGCTGTCCAAACGCAGGTTGCGATTTTAAAGTCCACCGCTCGAGACCCTCAACAGGTACTTTCGCTGCAGTCGTCACTTACCAAGGCTTCTCTCGTTTGGAATACTTGACACGACACGCTCGTAAACGCGATGTACGATGGCATATTCTCTGCCCGTAGGCGACCACGGCGACTGCTAAACGCCGCATACGTTGACCGGACTTGTTGGACTTCTCTGCGCGCGATCTGTAAGAATCCGCCGGCGTCTTGCGACCACACGCATGTTTAAACGCCAGTTTTCCTGTCGTAGAAGCGCGCGAGCGCCGCGTCAAATGGCCCTCCCGCGCGGCGATGATTGACGGCGCGCGTCCGAGCTCCGCACGGCCGGACGCCGCGGGTGGCCCGCGGGTGGGCAGTGGCGACAGCGAGCGTCCGGCAGCGGCGGCGCGCCGTTCGTTTTTCGTCCGGGCGAGCGGCGAGAAATCGTTAATCCGGTCGTCGGCCGGCCGGCCGGCGGCTTGTCGGCGGCGCCGACCGCCGCGCGGAACCAATGACTCGCGTCCGCCGCCGCCAGACGTCTATCGCCGACGCCGATTTCGCGGTAGATTTGCAATCGGCCATTCGGTGCATGGCTCTCGTGGCCCGGGCGCTTCGAGAGCGAGCCGGCGACAAGGCGCGTCTGAGCGGCCGGAGGCGCTGCTGGGCGCCGGACGTAACGCACCATAAATACAGCCGGCCGTGCCAGCGCCGACGCTGGCGGGCGGCGTGCCTGCAGCCCGGAGCCCCGCCCCTGCCGCCGCCCCCGCCAGCCAGACCCCCGCCGCGGAGTGACGGGACGCCCGGGCGGACGCCGGTTATAGATGGCCCGACGCGTTTTTGCCGATCGGGTGCCTTCTGGAGAGCCGGTTCCCTCGCGGGAGGTGCCTCTCGATATCTCCTTTGCCGGAGTTCATTTGGCCCGGGGCGCTTTTCCCGCCGGCGCGCGACGATTGCGGCGGCGCGCGGTGATCACAGCCAACGCAGCCGTGGCGGCGCCGCCTCCGCGGGCGGCTGC